AGAGTCAGTGACATAGCCACAGAGGACTAGAGTGGAGAATGAAGCATCCAGCTGATAGGAAGAGAGGGCATATGCACAAGAACACCCACACTTGCAGGTAATACCCACTTGACCTGGATTCAATGACTGGATGATCAGAACTCAACTAGAAGAAGAAAGAAGAGGGAAAAAAAAATAGTAATCTGACACAATTTGATGAACTTGACCTACAACTATGGATGCAGTAGTTCAAAAGAGGGACCAAATCTTTACAGTGAGGATCATCCCCACTTACTCAGTACACTTGGACATTGGCTACCAAAAATGGTGGGGAGAGGGGCTACAAAGGCAATAAGTGACTGGCTTACAAGCTTTCAAGAGGGAGCCTAGATGTAGAGGGTGTGGAGGAAGGTAGAATCTCCACTGAGTAGTATCCAATCTGTCTGGGCAGGGCTGATGAAAGGAGATGGGGCTAGGACTCCTGTGGTACAATAGTGAATAATTGTTATCAGGACTGACTGTGAGGGTTGGGAATGTAAAGGTAGATGTTTTGTGCGGGACCCTACCCAGAGACCAAGTGACACCTGAGATGGAGGCAAAGACGGTGACATGGAGAGATGGAGTGGCTGGGGACTATAAACCCAGAGAGGGAGATGGGTTGTGTGCTGACGACCAGGGGCAGGCTTGCATGGAGGGGATTGTACCATGGCAATGAAACGATCCATATATGATAGGAGATCTGATAGCATAGTGGCTTATGGGTTGAACTGCTAATGACAATGTCAGCAGTTAGAATAAACCAGCCATTCTGTAGGAGAAAGATAAGGCCTTCTGTTCCCATAAAGATTTACAGCCTTAGAAACCATATACAAGGTTACTTTGAGATTGAATTGAATTCAGGGAAACAGCCACTACCAATACCACCATGTTGTTGTTGTTGTTGTCAGGTGCCATTGAGTCAGAAACGACTCATAGCGACTCCATGCACAGCAGAATGGAACAATGTCCGATCCTGAGCCAACCTCACTACCACTGCCACACTTGACACCATCACTGATGCCACCTGGCTGATCCATCTCGTTGGGGGTCTTCCTCTTTTTCTCTGACCCTCCATCTTACCCAGCATGACATCC